TTCAGGCCTAATTGGCTGATTGAGCAAAGTGAACGTATTATTTTTTCTTCGTGCAACATAGTTTTTATAATAAAAGACTCTATAAAATTTTTAGAGTAAAAGTTTCACTCGAATAATGGTGTCACTGACCACTTCTCTCTATTCGAGTGAATATTTACTCCAATAGAGTAAGTTAATTCACTCTAACAATAAGACAAAAAGTGAAGAATTCCACTCTTATGTGTTGGTCTACAACCTTGCTTTAATACATAATTTAGTCGGAAAAGTTAATCGGAAAAATTAACCATCGGAAACACTGTTTAATTGGTTTATCCGATGGAAATTTTTCTCAGTAACGGCACTCTTTCAAAATGTGAAATTTCCCTCCATTCGGACTGTTAGTATTTTCATTATTTCTTCGAGTGAAATCTCACTCCAAAGGACTGAGATTCCCCGAGTCGAAATTTTGGCCCTATGTTGAACCTTTAATTCTATTATATTCTATTATACATATAGTAGGACCTAAGACAGTAAAAGAGATCGAACTGCAAGCACAAAAATACTCCTACTTTAAAACTAATAGTGTCGGAAATTTCTACTTTTGCTAATTTAGCATTAAAATAGGTTTTTTTTAAGTGGAAGCTAAAGTAAATTTTTAGAATTAAAGATTCCAGGAAGGAATAAAAAAAAATATAATGTAGATGTAAATTATCCTTAAAAGGGTCAAAATAGTACCAAAATTTCGACTCGGGTCCGCTCCACAAAATTTAGAGAGGATGGTTGGTATAATATCTGCGGGTAATAATATACACTTCCTTTTAACACCACGTTATGAATTGGCCTCATTAATTGAGTGATCAATTTATTAGTATATCTCGCAATATGTCACTCTTTTCTAGTTACAGTTAATAGTCATTGTAAGTAATGTTTACACCATTAACTAACGATCAATATTACATCGTGTTCTATTTGCTTCTGCGCATTCGCTGTAGTTCCACCCTGTATCGTACATAAAGCCACATTAATGTTAATTGATAAACATGTTACATTAAGTTTAATGAGCGCTTATTTTATTGTACCATCGTTAATCGCGTCTCTTTTTTTCTCTCGAAGATCTGTAGTTAGAAACAAATGAAGTAAGCCAATTTCTATTCCTCCTGTCCCTCAGGTATCAATTTCAAGAAGACGCGTCAAGGTGCGATTAATCGTGCAGAAAGGAGAGACATTTTGTAAAATAAAATTTGATGGAAGAAGATCGAGTCTCCAGGTGAAAACTATCCGTTTCCCGAGCAAGTGCATCAAAGTTCGACGCAGTTGCCGCCGGTTGAACGGGACAACAGATTCTGTCGTCGAGACGTCATCCCGATGATATACACTTTTCAGTTCGCTCCCTCGACCGTGACGCGCACAGGTCGACGGTAACTTTTTGGGCAGCGACGATAGTAATCTCGCGGTATTGCTGGAAATGCAATTCGAGCACTTGCTCCGGACACTCTAATCCCGTATCGCGGGGGACGAGAATAAAAGCGGACAAAGAGGATGAAGGGACACGAAGCTGCGTGGCACTGTGCGACGTATGTGTACGCGGGAGTCGGCACGCGCGCGTACGACGGAGCTCTATATCCGGTCTAGCTTCCGTTTCTCTGTCAGCCCCCGACATTATCGTCCCTCAGATCTCTCCCGAGCTCGGCCTAATCCGATTCACGGACTCGGCGGTGGAACGACGACGGCACGACCTCGTCCGTGTCAGAGTTGCGCGCGACTTTGCGCCCTGGCTCGAAACTGACGACGTTAGTTTCGGGAGAAAGACAGGGATGCGCGCAATTCCTTCTTGCCCGGCGTTAAGAACGTCTCGACTTCTCGCCGAGACGGGAGTTTCACGTATTCCATCACAGGATGCACCGCTCGTCGCGGAGTCCTTTCGGACGGGACCTCGAAGACGTCGATGGCCGGCGGAGGTGGCGATCAATTCTTAAAACAAATGGCTTGATCGTCCCAGTTCGCGTACCTCGCGGCCGCGCGAAAAAATGAGATACTCGCCCCTTACGACTTGTCTCCTGAAATATTTATTCTTCCGGTTACTCGAAGGCCCGCTGGCATCTCAACGCGGCTCACGTATCGCATTTCTGTGCATAAGAGATACGCGTGCCCACCGGCCGAGACGATCCGCTAGGGGTTGAAACGTGTCCGTGTCGCAGGCAATGATCGTCGTTAGCCAAGATTTCTTGCGATTAATCGGCCGCGCGTCCCGGTTACGCGCTGATCGTAATAGAGAGAATCGTCGCTATTAGAAAACCAAGTATGATGGAAAGGAGATAACGGGAAGTTTGATATTACCGCCCGATTTATTCGAAACCTCCGTTCCCATTCGGCGCGATTTATGATCGGAAACAAGAAAATCCCATCGTTTTCCGCCACGTCAAAATCTCTCCTTTTTATTTTCGCTCTTTGTAAGGAAATTTTTCCGCTTTATAGAGGAAATATAGAGCGACGTCGTTTCCAGCCACGTTTGGATATTTCAAATGGGTTACGAGATCGTGATGGACGTAAAAATGGCCGGACGTGTTTTCCGACGTCTTCGGCGACTCGAAGTTAGATGTCCGTTTTAACGTCGAGCACCCAAGAGCAAAATATAAGACATAAGTAAACGAGAGCAGTGCGCGACGGCGGTGGCTGCGAGGGAAAAAGAGAGAGGAAGGAAGAGAGCGAGCGCAGAAAGACAGAAGGAGGGAGAGGGGCGAGAGATACGAACAAACGACAGATAGATATCAAAGAAACGACTTGTGGAGACGATGCTTGCAGACACGGAGTGCCCAACTCTCGTGCTCGTTTTCCTTTCCAGAAAATAAGAGAGAAGTCGGGGAGAATTGAGGAAGCGAGAGGAATTGGTGATATTCTGGATCCCAGGATGTACCAGCAAGGCACGTATACACGCGCGTACACGGAGACGCACGCTGTACACAGGGTACAGAGGGTGGAACGGGGGAAAAAGCGGTAGCGAGATAGAAGCACAAAGAGCGGAAAGGAAAGTGGAGAAGGAGACGCTGCTTCCTGCCCTGGGTACCGCTTATTAATATACCTTTCGAGCCGCGCGAATTGTAGCTGGTATCTTGGCAATTGCAGCATCGTGATCCTGCAGGATCTCGCGAATTGTCATTCTTACCGTGAAGTATGACACGGTGGTTACGCGACGATATAATAACGGCGGGCAAATGGGATTTTAAATTAGACGCTCGCATTCGTCCGCTCTTCTCGCGCTACTGCGCGGTGAATCTTCCGATTGTTTCATTAATTTCTGCCCGCGATTAAGAGCGTGGATTTTGAAGGATATCTGTTTGTGCGCAAACTCCTCTTTAACCCTTTGAAGCATACCTTTTTCTATCGAACCATTTTTTGTGAAACTTTGTACACAAGGATTCTTGGGGGTCGCTGATTACGAATCCGTTATCAGATTTTCATAATTCAAAACTTGAAAGAATAACATCATTCAACTGTAATTAAACTATGCTAAGAAACATTGTTTAGATATCATTAGGACTCATGTAATCTAAATTCCAGTTAAAGGTTGTTATGGAATATAAAAAATAGCGCGCGCGAAATGACGGATGCAAATTTGAAATTTGTCCATTTCTTAGAATTTACTCATTCTTGGCACTACCCAGAGCTAATGACGCGGACGTGACGAGAGACTAAATACCGTAATCAAACGAAAATGCTGAAAAACTTAAAAACTTAAAGAAATTCACTTACTTTGCATCGGCCATTTTGAATTTTGAAAATCTGACATCAGATTCGTAATGAGCGACCCTGAAAACCCCTTTGTACAAAGTTTTCAGGAAATAATCTTAAAAAACTTGATCAATAATGAATTTTTCCGAAATATTGCTGTTTTTAAATTTTTATTTATTTATTTAACTTTTACAATAAATATTAAAGACTACTCAACTTTTTAAAATGTTTTTTTATCGCTAAAATAATCCAAAAATGCAAAAAAACCCGACCTAAATGCGTTAACTAGAAATTAAATGGCCAAAAAGTAAAAAAGTTGAGGTGGTAACGTAGGTTACCACCATGCTTCAAAGGGTTAAATTCTCCCTGTTGAAAGATTACCAAAAGAATGAGATCCACCGAAAAGTGCGCAGAGTTTAGCCGAATAATCTGAAAACACGTATACACTTTTCATACTAAAACTCGTAGATTCAATCATTAGGTAAACAGTCGCGAAAGAATTTCTAAAATGTACGCTCGCATTATCAGAACACTTCGTATATTACGGACTGATGAAAACGACCTCAATTATAAAATACAAAATTAAAACACAATACTATATTGATAAAATCAGCGGCAAATAATTACAAGCTGAAACCCGCAATCTCTTTATAATTTGTAGTACAGCAGTTAATTATTAAAACTTGGTATAATAATATAATAAAATTAATTAAAAGTTTAATTAAAATGTGTGCGGAAAAAGAGAATATTACGTCCTTATAAAAAAAATGTATAATGATATTATTTTGTATGACCGAACAAAAATAATATTTACAATGTGTATCCATGCGTTATCTGTATTTTCGTATAAGGCGTTGCGTAAGCTTTGAAGCTAATATTAAAACACCACAGTATACCAGACAATGGATATGCAATCAAAACTGTTACGATTACTTTGTGAAATTTCTGAAAGTACACATACAATTTGCATATCATTGATTAAAATATCAAACGTGCGTCACGGTTTTTCCACTACGAAACACTAATTTTTGCGTTGCGACACTGGCGTGACTTTGAGACGCGGCACTCCAGGTCGGGGGTTTTTGAACAATCGTCAATCGATTCCTCCCGAATGAAACGATTATCCTCAGGGAAGATTCTTCGGCGACGGGGTGTGAGATCGGCGCGACTCGGGCACACGCGAACGAACGCAGGCGTTCGAGGGCCGGCTCCGGCTCCGGCGGCGCGGCGCGGCGCGGCGCGGCGCGACGCGTCGCGACGCTCGGCGCCGCGGCCTCCCTCAGTCAGCCCTGCGCCGTACGGGCGACGACCACGAGGGAAGAGGAAGCGCCGCCGCTTCTCGCCGTCGCGCGAGCCGACGCGACGCGACGACGAGCGCCTGTCCGTCCGTCGAGAGCTTTAGTCCGCGTCCGCACGTCGACTGAAACACGCGACCCACGTCCACCCGGTGTAGTGTGCGCGGCTTCCCTTCTTCCTCCTGTCACTCAAGCTCGTCCTGAAGGAACGGCCAATACTACCGTATCAGATAACAGAGTCTCTCCTTTCCCCTGCCGTTCTCCGCTTTTGTCTTTCCCTTTCTCTCTCCCCCTCCCTCTCTCTCTGCCTTCCTTAGCCTCTCGTCGTCCTACTCGCGCCAGTTATTTGATAGTTTTTCTCGTTTCCGCTCCTTCGACGAATGCCTCGCGATCCTTTCTGAGATAGATGGAGGAGAGGATGTTTCGGGCGCGCGGGAGGAAGATTAAGACCGCCGGAAATTCGGGATGTAATATCCGGCGGCCCTAGTTACACGTACGGTGTGTGCGCGCCAGTCAGTTTTCCTGCCTTCGAAGTCGGAGCAGCCTCGATACAAGCCGGAGTAACGGAGGACGCTCGAGAGATTTTGGATTCGATCGGAGGATTTGCTCAACGAAGGTACGTTTCCGGGGAATTGTATTGTTTCGTTTTATTACTGCGAGCTAAGCGACGAGTTGTCTCGCTGCGCGAAACAACTGGTCGCTCGAAGGCTCCTTCGAGTTGTCCAAATCAAGTACAATGCTGACAATTTTGTACATTTTCTTAGAAATCAAAGCTATTGTAATATAGTAAGAATGTTTCTGTTACTTCTTTTAATTTCTATCTTATTCGACGAAATCATATTAGATGATTCGCGTGCACCCAATCTTCGATATGTGAAATTAAATTATCTCTGGCAATTATTTACGAAAGGACTTGTCTCATTCTCTTCCGCAAATTCTAGGATTAACGTGCGGTTCTTACGGCTTTCTTCCTACACTCATTCGAATTACTCGCTTTATAATAAGATGATCGAAACAGCATTCGTAAACAAACGACATTTTTTACTTTGCATTTATACCAACTTTTCCCGGCAAGGAGAAAGGGGCTTCAGCCACATCGTTACTTAAGATCGCAAAAAAGTTTTAATATCACCAGTGTCCGCAACAGTCTCAAAATGCCGCGAAAGTTAAAAATTGTAGTCCGACACGGCAGAAGATTTTACGAAGTCTCACGTTACGAGGGAGGTCTCTTATTGTCCTGAAAAAAAAAGAAATACTTATGAATGAATCATACTACCGAGAATTTTAAATTTAATAAGGAAAGAGTCTCGTTGTTATAAGGGCCGCAACAAGTTTAAATTCACCACGGCATCCCGTTGAAGAGATATCGCGGAAGTTATCTGCCCGACAATGGTTACAAGAATATTCTCTCTCATTCCCTCCTTCTCGCTATTCCCACGTACTCCCCGTACGTCGGAGGGTGATTCTCCATCCACCCGTGCGACGCGACGCGACGCGCCGCGACGCGACGCGACGCAGAGAGCTTCGCCTCAAACTTTTCCGTAATGAGATTTCCCGGGGAACGAAGAGGGATTACGGCGCGGAGAGACTTTTTGCTCGTGTCGCCCGCGCGCGCATCGCCGCGGTCCCATACATCAAACTGTCGGCCGGGGATGTTGCAGGTGCATATGATACGTTCGGCTCCGTTAAGCGCCTTTACTACTCGCGGCGTGGCCGCGCGGAAAGGCGTATCGACGAGCGCACATTTTTTTTTCGCCAACTTTCCGCGCGCACCGCGCAATTAATCGACGTTGTTCCGGCCCCCAATTAGCCCCAACCCGACGGCTCAGCACCGTTGATCGGGTAACCGCGCTGAGAAATTTGAGTATCGTTAACTCTGGACGGGGACGCCGGAGTGATTCTGCACCTTTTGCGCTTGAGAACTGTCGATTCATGAAAACATTTGGGTAACACAAATTAGGAGGCTTACGCGTACAGACCGAAAGTGTCCCACTGCTCGGACTGAATCAGAGAACAGTGCGGTATCATTGAAAGTAATAGCGAATTCGATTGCTCGCATTATTGCGCACTGAGTATTAAATGTCTTTTCGGCTAAATATTCTTTGAATATGTATTTAAGACAACAAAGTTAAATGTAAAAATTGCCTATAAAGGCCTTAGTGTTCACTCAGTGCGCACTAGTGCAAGTAATCGAATTCGCTGTAAGTTTAGAAGCCTACAAAGAAATTATTTAAGTGAATAGATTTCTTTTCAGGCTTCTACACTTAGTTTCAATGATACCATGATATTAACATGCATATAATTTCCCTAGTAGCACAATATATTGGCGCAATATTGGAAAATAATATAATGTATTCCCAATATTGGTCCAATATTGTAAGATGAACGTCTTCCCTTATTTAGCCAATATGTCTATTTAGCGACATTAGCCTAATATTGTATCAATATTGGACAATTATTTTTATTACATTGTTAAATATTGGTTAATCCATCTCCAATATAAATCTAATATTACATAATTATTATCGTGCAATATTTACATTTATTCCATGGCCAATATTGGCTTTGCAATATCGGCCGATGCGTTTCTAATATAACCAACATTGTACCAATATTTAACCGATGTTTCGCCAATGCACCGTGCCACTGGAGCTGTACGTTACACAAACGTTTTCATGAATCGACAGTTCTAGGAACAAAAGGTGCAAAAGGTGCAGAATCACTCCAGCATCCCATTACGACGATCAATTAACGCTTTTGGCACATCGATCCATTTGCGACAGCTCCGGTTCTCTCTCCATCCGCTCCGTCCGGGAAGTCCCGGCTTGCCCAAGTTCTCGGAGCACATGGCACGTGCTCGCTCGCGAGTGTTACACGCCGCACATGTGCGCTCCCTCGCGAGTTTACACTAACCGCACCCCCGCGCGTTACCATTCGCGACGCTGTTTATTTGCCCGCGATAATTATCATAGGAGTTTTATAAAGTCCGGAAGCGCGGCCTGCGCAGCGCACGTGACTGCACTCGCAACGGCACGGCTTGTTACGAAACTACTCGTCGAACTTACAAAAGGGGGACGCGCGACCCCGTCCGAAGTAACGACAACGGGATTTAACGAGCGCGCTTTCTATATCGCGTAAACGTGCGCGGAAAAAGCGCGCCCGTAACAGCCGCACTTGCGAAACATTTCGGCGAAGTTTCCCCGCGAGAGCTCATACGACGCGCGAATATCATAACTCGCTCCGTTTTTCCGCGCTTTTATTTCTCGCGCGACATGTCACCGCCACTATAATTCCGGAATTAAATATGGAGAACCTAGAATCTGCCCTCGTTAGTGGCAATTTATCGAGCTGTCAAGCGATTAAAAGTCGCGATACTCTGTCACTTTCAATGTTTATGTACGCAATTTTCGGTTTTTCAATTTTATTCCCGCGTTTTTCATTCTCCAAGATTGCATCGAATTAAATACATCTCTAGTGTAACGTATCGTTTCCATTCCAGCATATTTGCAAGAGAACAGTTTTAAAGTTACATTTTATATGTTGCGTTTCATTTATTTCGCCCCGTTTAAAATAATAGATAGAATACGATCAGATTACATTAGATTACATGCACTTTCAATGTAAATTAATGGGTCTCTTATTTATTTACATTGTAATTGCATGAGCAAATAAATAAGAGTCTAACGAATTTGCATTGAAATTGCATGCGATCTAATGTAATCTGATCTAATATTTTAAACAGGGCAATTTACAACGTTAGAAGTGATATTTGTTCCATTTCACACGTTTATATCTGCGTTTCCGTCACTTAAGGGGATCCTAAAGCCGTCTGTTTTATCGACAGCCTTAGTTAGAAGTAATCTTTTCATTGGCTTTATAGAAATACAAAGCCCTTTTAGGGAATTAAAGTACGCAGCAAAATCTAGACTATGCTGGTCGACTTTATATTAAAAACGAAAGAAAATTAAAAATTTTACTAATTTTTGGTACACTTGACGGCAATATTTGCTTGATATCTCTAGGGACGACATATAAGAACAATATCGTGCAATTAGAACTAAGATTAATAGCCTAGAAAAAAAGATTACTATAAACACAAGTCCAGAAATCCAAGTCTAGAAGAAGAGAAAAGGAGCAGTACGGCGTGTAGAAATAGTTGCGGGCTTTTTCGAGAGAGGTCGCTGCCAAACATCTATCAGATAAAGCCATGGTGTTGACGATGCTAGAACTCGATCCGAAATCTCGGCCTGAGCAATGTGTAGCTAATAAAATTGCTGCTTTTTCGTAAAAGTTGCAAATTTATGGGCTATAAATTTCTCGGACCGAATTCTAGCCCTCCAACTTTCTCTTTACTGCTGCCGAAAACACTGGAAACCCGGTAATCACAGACTGGCCCATAAAAGTTCGTCAATATCCCGCGAGTGAGAGAGAAACATAGGCTTCTACGATCGTAGAATCGTAGAAGAGTGAGGTAGCCTATGTTTCTCTCTCACTCGAGGGAATTTGACGAACTCTTATGGTCAGTCTCTGGTTACAGGGTCTCTAGAAAACACCGGTCTGAGGTGACATCCAAAGTAAAACTTGAAATAAAAAATGTCGATAATTGACGTTTTCATTTCCGTTTCCTATCTTATCGACACTGATCGAGGTCACCAGCGGCTTTAGGATCCCCTTAACACTATCAAATTGTCTCCGTGAACATTCAGGACGTTGATTATTCGATATTAACGAGTCCCACGGGCGTTTTTGCGGGAATCGCGTCAATGGTCGATTTGGTACGATGCGTCGCGATGCGTGTCGATGCGTGTCGATACTGAAGGGGTTAATCTACGTTTTTACGTTCCTTCGATGTCGCCTCTCTCGTACGTAAGTTCTGCGCCGCGATTTAATTAAACTCTCTCCAACGAAATGCCGTCGAAAAATCGATGCCTGCCGCCGTTGATTTTACTAGCGGTTCCGCGAGACTCCGAACGAAGCAATTCCGGCGAGACCGGTCGAGTCGATTTAGCTCGTTCGTGCAGAAATCCGCGCCCGAACTAGTCAGCCGACCCCGAAAAGTTGCGGATCGCAGGGAAAATTCACAGTGACGGCAACGACAGCGACAAGGAATTGCTCTGAACTTATTCAATCGAACTAGTTCACGATAGAACAGAGTGCTTCGTCTGTGGCGGCGATCGATATTAACTCCTTAAACACTCGAATAAATATGAAAGCACCTTCGAAAGAGAAAAAATCAGGGTGGATATCCGTGGAATAGGCGCCGAAAGACTTGAACAACACTGAGAGAAGTGGGTACGTAATTATGAAGTTTGCCGCAATGCAAATATTACCTCGCGAAAATTTTGTTTTCTTCGTCGTCGTCGCAAACAATCCTAGTGACGTAATAATTAATCGTAGTATAACATAGTAGAAACATACAAATCTCTTTAAGTTGCCAGTAACAATAATCAAGCTTTTTAGCCGACATTAACCGGCCAGTGGTTTTAGTACAGAAAATTTATTGCGAAAAACATTACCTCAGCCAGGGTTTGAACCTGGACCTCTCTACTCTCTAGGCGGGCGTCTCACAAATTCGACCACTGAGGCATGTGGTAATATTTGTCGCAATAACAGTGT